ATTAGAGTTAATAATGGAATAAAAGAGTCTTTATTTGTAGATTACTAATCAGAAATAGATAAAATTGTTGAAGCTATTGCCCAATCTAATAAACCTATAAGATATTAGATTTTGAATGCTACCTTAAACAATCTGGTATTGGCAATTAATTTACATCCAATTATCATACATGTGATTTCACATGGAGATTATGATGAAAAATCAGCCTGTTTGTATTTAGAATTTTAGGATGATGGCATTTCTACAAAATTAAAAACCGATGAAATTTAAAATATGATTTAAAACCACAAAGCTATGACAAGAATCAAACTCATATGCATTAGTTCAATTGTTGCAAAAAATATTGCTGATTATATACCCAAAGCCATCCCAACTGTTGTTTTCCAAAAATTTTACAATTAATTGGATCTTGAAGGTCCTATTTTTTGGGGAAAGTTTTATGAGAAAATTTTAGCAGATTTTACTATTTAAAGTGCCTATGATTAGGCAAAAAAAGATCTTAAACTCAAATTTTGGAAAAATGATTCCAAATTTATTTGTTGTTGCTTCCACAAGCACTTTGAAAAATGTCCTTATGATCCTGCTTCTATAGGATTTGAAGTTTCCCATAGTTAACATCTTTCGTGTGTTTAATAAAAATGGTTGCACATATTGATACCCTGCCTACCCCACACTACGGTAGATGAAGAATAATGTGAAATAAGTTGTTTAGGAAGGTTAATTCATAAATGTACTAAATAATGTGATAATTATGCTTATCAGATTGACACTATACTTCAAAAATTATAAATTACTTAGATTGATGAAGATACCTTGTATGCAAACCTTTAGAGTATTGAGAATAAGCCTTATGGTTGTTGTTGTGATTAACTAAATGCCATTTTAGAGACGATTGAAAACAGTAACTAAAACTTTGCTAAATAATAGCATACTTATGATTAAAAAATTCAATTGCATCTATTTGATGAAAATGCAAATAATTTAAATTTCTCTGAAAAAATTGAAAATAATTAAGAACAACACATAGATATCAATTTTATAAAAGTTGATAAATAGATTATTTTAGTTCATTCTTATAATTTATAAAATACTGATTTGTAAGAATAATCCTTAAAGGCTATATCTTCTTACTTTTAAGTAATATTAAATTTATCTTTTAGGTTTATTTGAAATAAATGTCAATTAAAAAATAGATTCAAAAAGTTTAAATTAATTTAAAAGATTGTAATATAAATAATTGGATAGAATATGTGGCAAACAAATTAAATTTTTAATATTCTAATAATTAAGACTTTTTTATCAAATTAAAAGATTATTTCATCACTCTCAAAAATCAAGTTCAATATCTGTACATTTTTCTTATTGAAAATATAATCAATATTTATGCCTCTGATTAATTTAAGATGTTTTATGAATAAATTTAAAATGTAATTGAGAGTCATTTCATACTTGTTTTTACTGTTGATAATGTCCAAAAAGATCATTTAAAATCACTTACCGCCGATAAATTAATCTAATTGATAGATTTAAATCAGTTATATAGTTTAATTGAAATAGAAAATGCCTAAAAATGAGTATTATTTTTAAATAAATAATATAACTCTTTTTTATTTAATGTTTTTTGTCACTAAGTATATATTAAGTAAATTTATTGGTGATATTAAATTTATACCTAAATTATTTTCATAATTTATTATTTAATCTTTAACTAAAATTGATTTTAGATCAATCAAAAATCATTTAAAAAATATAAATAATAATAATAATAATATATATTATTAAGAAAACTTATATTTCATATTAAAATAATTTTTCAATTATTGAGAATTATTGTTTAGGTTAATATCAAGATTAATAAAGTAAACTATCCAATTCACTTTACTAATGAAAACTTAAAAATCTAGCAGTTCATTGACTAATCGTATTTAGGGTTTTTCAAATTTTATAATATAATTTAAACTTATTCAAAAGTATACATATCACTTTTCTTTGAATATCGGTAAAAACAAAGAGAGCATAGTTAAATCTTTCTTCGATTAATACTTTGGTCGAAACCTTAATATCGTGTTTGAATTTTACTCTTTCAAAGAATTAAAGTAATATTTACTTATATGTCAAATAATAGGAATTAATTTTCACTCTCATCTATAAAAATTGTTTATTAAATATTAGTGCAGATTTTTCAATTTATGAAAATTCTGTTCTTTTATATGGATTTTAAGCAATTTATTATGTTATCTAGAAATATTAACTAAGATTTTTCGAACAATTTTTGATTAATATTTGTAGAAATTTAGAAACACTTTCGGATTAATAAGAAAATATGTTATATAAAAATAATAATTATGAAGATTTATATTTTTATATATTGCAATTTATTGAATTTAAAAAATTTAAGATTTTCTTTACACTTATGATTTCAATAAAATAATAAATAATTTATTTAAACAGATGATTATGTTAAACATTAATTTATATATCATGGTACATTCTTTATGAACATTGGATTTAAATAAAATCATTAGGAATCAGTATTAAAATATATAATTTAAATTATTATATATAT